GCTGATCTAATGTCGGTGCCAGCAGGACACCTGGTGCCAGAGTAGGGGCAGAGGAAACAGGCGCTGATCCACTGGGTGCCGTTGAAGCCGCTGAAGCCGGTGCCGGGAGGCTGATCAATTGCGGCGCCGGCACGTTTGTCAATTTCAAGGCGCATGAAACTGAAGCCGATGCCGGCTTGCTGGTCAGCTTCGGAGCCACTCCCGGTGTTGGCGCTGAAGCCGCTCTGCCTCTGGATGGTGGAGGCTCCTTATGCCATCCCCCGTGAGTTGTCTGGACCCCCCAGGGGTCACTTTAGAAGCCGCTGCCGGGGTTGAAACTGCCGCAGGGAGGGAGTGTGTCGGGGACGGCTTTGACGTTTTGGAGCCTGCCGGTCCCAGAGAAGCCACTCTCCTCTTGTGCTGGGAGATTTTTGTGGCTGCTGGAGGGGTAGGGTCAGGCTGCAATGCCTTACCAAACAAACATTCTTAGTTTCATCTCCCGCTCCCTCCAGGCTCTTGAAGTTAATTTGCAGCAATGGGTGCACTTGTCAGGGACGTGAGTCTCCCCCAGGCACCTAATACAAGTGTCATGGCTGTCAGCCATTGGCATGGCTTCACGGCACGCTGAACATTTCTTAAAACCAGTTGATCCTGGCATTTTTCAGCAGAGTTACAGAAAAAAACTGATTCCTGTGTAACCCCGCTGCGGGTAGTCAATTACACGGTTTTAAAGATTTTTTTTAAACAGGAACACAGCTAACACTAAAACTCTAACTATTTACAGGTAGATAACTACCTAAAACCATGACTAAAGAAGAGATCAGGGAGCTCCGACCTGAGGCGGTTGAGAGGAACTGACGATTGCCGGCTCATGCGCGGCTGATCAACGGCGCGAACGCTATCCTGGTGAACCACGCATGCACGAGCCGGCAGAGCACGGCTATGAAAAGTCTCCGAGCTGCGGCGCCGGGACGGGACCCGACACCTAGAGTGGAGCACCCACGGGGCCACTTGAAGAAGAAGAGTGCTGTCCTGATGCCCTGCCCAGAGTGCTTCCAGGGGTGGGGGGAAAAGGGGGGGCCTTAAACGCAATTCAGCCCCCAATCAGTGTGGATGCGCTATTTTGAAATAGATCCATGCCTCACCCCTTTCAGATTTTGGAAGGCACTTCAGATTCTTGAACCTCAGGTTGAGTGCTATAGCTATCTTTAGAAATCTCAATGGTTTCTTTGGCCTTCTCTCAAATCTGCAGTGAAAATGTTCTTAAAATGAAGAACTTGTGATGGATCATCTGAAACTCAGACAACATGAAATATATGGCAGGATGTGGGTAATACAGAGCTGGAGACAATTCTCCTGCAAGTAGTTCAATCACAAAATTTATTTAAACCACTTTTTTTAAAAACAAGTTTTCATGTAGATCACATGTCCTCAAGAATAGTGGCCAAAGCATGAAGAGTCATAAAAATGTTTAGCATACTTAGTACAGAAATACTTTACAACACTGACTACAACAGTGCCATGTGACTTCCTGCTTTCCGGTGATATTAAAAATAAGAAGCTGGCAGCAATATCTTCCATAAACATAACCCAACTTGGTTGTCTTGGTAGGCTGAACAAGATGTAGAACTGAATGGACTTTTGAGTGAAATTATGTAACAAAAATTGATGGGAGAGAGGGTTGGGTATGTTGAGTGGGGGGCAGAGCATTGGAGAAAGGAGGAGATGGGGTGCCAGAGGCAGGTTGTGGCCAGGAGACTTACCAGCAAGCAGCCAAACCAGCCTGCCTACCTACAGAGTTAAGGCTTGCAGAGATTAACACATTTCCCAGCCAACTAGCCTGTCTACTTGCCTGTCCATGTGTTTGTGAATAACTAAGCCAAAGAGAGGTTTTTCTTGGCTGTCTGTTATTCAAATAACCATCTCCCATTGACTGGTTTCTGGCCAGAAATTAGCCAATGGGATTGGACTGAGGGTGGGGTGGTTCCTGAAGCTTCTTCCCTCCCCTGTAGTTTTGAAAGAAACAGAGCCCGGCAGCTACGTCTTTTCACAGTGCAGGGGAGGAAGGGGCTCTCCGGGGAAGCAGAGGAGCCTGCCTGGGGCTCCCCGCTGTCTCTGCAGGCTGTATCCAGAGGCTTGGTGGGCTGGATCTGGCCCATGGGCCATATTTTGCCTAAGCCTGCTCTGGGGAGGACAGGGGGCGAAGGGGTGATGGGGTAACAGGGCAAGAGGGTGTGGCTTGGGCTGTAGGGGTCAGAGGTTAAAAGGTCAAAGGGCACAGGGTGTAGGGATGGGGGGGCAGGTCAAAGGCACTGAGGAGCAAGCGGCACTCCTCATTAGGCACGGAGGAACAAGCGGTTGGATTAGGGCTAGGTGGACCAGTAACATTTTATTTGCATATTCAATATCAGTTGAATACCAGTTCATCACCAAGTTTGTGAATGTGTTTGCCAGTCTGCAGTACAAAAAAGGTTGGGAACCACTGGTTTAAACCAATAAGCTATTGCTTATTGGTTAACAGTCCCACTTAGCCACAACAGGCCGCAACCATCTTGTCCTTCACGTGTGCTACTTTTAAAACTCAGACAGGCAGGCTGGCCCAGTCCCCTGGCCTGAGTTGGAAATCAAGAGCATGCAGGGGAACTGTCTGACACCCCATCCAGTGTGGCAAGGGGTTCCCTGGGATTGGGGCCAGAAGTGCACTGGCTGCCATCCTCACTCGTGGGGATCATTGAATAATGTGTAACTGGTAAAAATGGTGGTGGTTACACAATACATTAAACAATTTCTAACATCACTATGCTATCATTTTTACAGAGCAAATATTTAAAATATAAATGACTATCCCTGATAAGTGTAAGACGGTACTGGGTCCTGCTGTGAGGGCAGGGGACTGGACTCGATGACCTCTTGAGATCCCTTCCAGTTCTAGTATTCTATGATTCTAAAGTGAGCAATGTCAGTTCCTAAGGGTACAAGTTTACCAACTGTAAAAGCTGAATGCAACTAACTGAAATTGTTGATTAGCCACCAAAATGGAAGCAATCAGCCTGACAACTGCTTAAAACTCTTCAGGAAGTTTTCATAGAATAAAATGGATAATATAGAGGTTGATTCATAAGGTAATCTTAAATAATACCAAGTGCCACCAATTAACTATATTAATTCTTCCGCCTACTCAATGATTCAAAGCAGCAGGGCACCCTCTAATTTGGCTGTCAGTTCTAACTAACCTACATGACAACATACCAATAAATCAACATTCTGCAGCACCTAACTACAACCTTTCTATATCACAACCTGACTTACCAGACAATCTTTAAAAAAAAAAAAAGTGTCTATCCAATTGTCCACACACTTAATTAGGCGATAGTAATGTACTTCATGTTTGAGTAATCACTTTTCCACTATATTGCATAGACAGTGAATTTGAAAGGCTCAGTACAAATTTATTAAACTTTATAAAAATTAGTTTGAGACTCTCTCTAGTTGGTAAAATGTTTTCTAAGTAAAAAAATTTGAACTGGTCAAAACTTGGAAAGTTGTAGTAGATGGGAAATTTCCCCATTTCAGAGTTTGCTGTGAACCTAAAACTGTGTAAAATTTTAGTTTTAGAAGCACCAGCACATGGTGTTTCCAAAACAAAACCTGTGCCCTAGAATCCAGCAGCTGGCGGCTGAAATGGATATACTTTTGTCAATTTCAAATTATCCATCTCTGAAAAACAGCAGTGAAAATTGATAGGAAGGTCTACACCAGATCTATGGACCTAGAAGGCCAAGCTAAGATTTTCAAAACTTGCTAAGCAGGAGTCCTCCAAACAGGAAGCCTGCAAACTCCAGGGTCTTCACTGGAGTCTGCATAGCAGGGTTGCCCCACTGCTGCAGTCCCTGGAATCATCAATATCTTGCCAGGAAGTCCTGATGAGAGAACCCGTGGAAATCAGTTAAACCCGATGTGTCAACATTTTTGGTTAGACCACGTCACATTTTCTGACAAAAGCCTGTTTGTCAGAAGATTGCCAACAAAGTTTAGTGAAGATATTTGCTTTTCTTATAAGGTAACCCCATTTGTTAGGGGTTACCGTAGGGATGTAAATGGTAAACTGGTAAGCCTCATCCTTAATGGGTGAGGCTCACTGGTTACAGTTAACTAGTAGGAGCTGAATAGCTCCTAGCTCTCCCTGGGGATGGGGGTGCTCCAAGCCTATAGGCCTGGAACAGACCCTGTCCATGGTAGGCCTCTGCCCCCCTGCTGCAGGTTTCATGCTGGCTTCCCAGGAGTGTGGCAGTCCTGCTCTCAAGAAAGTGGCTTCGCTGTGACAGCAAAGCCTCCTTCCCCAGGGGTGGGGTCATCAGCTCTTGCCAGTCCCACTCCCAAGGAGGCTTTGCTGCATACTACAGAGCTCACAGCAGAGCTGCCCTGGGAGCAGGGCTAGAGGAGGCTACTAGCCTTGTTCCCCCATGAGGCTTCACTGTAGACAAAGTATTTAAAGTTTTAGAGTATTTAAAGCTTTATCTGCAGAGCCCATAGCACATATTACCACTAAATTTTTTAGCTGTTACACTGACATTTTTAAACAACTTTTACATCCTTAGCGCCAACTCTTCCATGGAAAAAAATATTCATTTAAACATACATTTTCAGCCTTCAGTCTTTTAATACTAACATAGCTATAGATTACAGACAAGTATGCTAGCAATGAACTCAAGATATCAACACAACTCAAAATGATTTTGGCTTTCACCACTTTGCTTACTGTTCCACTAACTTCCTTTGGCTTATATTACATTTGTTCTTGGAGAATGGTATACATTGTCTTCTGTGATTCAACTGCTGAATAAAAAGGTTCACTTTTCATTTCTTCATGGGTAGTATATCCATGACAAGGCAGCACAACTTCCACGTCCAAAGCTCAAGGTTAACCATGTAAATGACACTTGCATAGCAATGCTATGTATGCAATTGGTTAAAAAGAATATTCAGTACAAAAATCTAAATAGAAAGGGTTCAAACTTTACCTTTAACTTCTTATTTAGTTTGCAGCAGTATCTGTATAACATCGCCAAATTTAAAGGTCCAAAATCTGCATAGAAACAGATGGGAGAGACAAACAAAACACATCAGCACTGTGGG